ATCTTCTAAATCTCACTCCGATGCCAAACTTTTATCTCAAAGTGATACGTGCCATCAATTGGAAGAATCCTCGAAAACTTCTACAAGTTCCACCTCACAGGTTTCAGATGTCACTCATGAATCTGCATTCCCGACCATGTCACCTACACAATCTCCTTCTATACAGGTGATGGAAAGGCAGGCAGTTTTTGATCCCAATAGAATTCCCTCTTCCGTTGTTGGGAGTAAGGATTCGTCCTCTAAGGAATGGAGCACTGCTTCTAACGAATCATTGTTCAGTATCCACACTGCTGGAAATGGTAGTCCTGCAAGGGATGATATTGTAATGACTGATGGAGATTTTAAACGGTCAAAGAAACGAGACAACTCATGTGCAGCATTAGATAAATATGAAGAAATTAACAAGTCTGGCAAGCCAACTAGGTTTAGGCAGCCCTTGCCAGCTGCAAAAGGAAGAGAATGTAAGGAAAAGATCCATGAGAAAGGAAGGAATGTAAATGCTGTAAACAACCTGTTAGCAGCAGGTTCAGATGAACCAACAAAGAGAGTAGTCCGTTTTAGAGAGGAAATAAAAGTAGGAGACATCAGAAATCATTCTGCTGCCGTTGGCCTCTCTGATGGAAATAAAGGCTTTAGGGACTCCTGCACTGCCGTTCGCCATTCTGATGGGAATGGCATGTCTTCTGTCTTTCCAATGTGAGTAACAATTCTTCTTTTTTGGTTTCTGTACAGATAAGAATTTTTATCGCTAATTAATTGTTTAATGCATGCATTTAGTTCTTGGATTTCCCCGAGTTAAACAAAGAGACAACCTGCTTATTTGTTCATTAATTAAGCGCTTTTCATTAATGTGTGAATATATAGATAGAGACCATCTAAATTGTGTAAGTGTAAGAGTTCTTTCTTTGTCTTATCTCTAACTTACATGCTCATACATGGGCCATTAAAGACGATTTGAGAGTGTAAACCAAAAACTAAACCACATAAACACCTCTACTAACATAAAGTTGAAATATGCACTTGTGGTACTTTTAATACTATAACTTATACACAGAGGCGACATCGCTAATTGTATTTAGTAGCAGATGACAGAACAAGGATACAGACAAGCAAGGTCCTGGATCATTTAAGATTGTCTGGAAAGATTTGACAGTAAGAATGCATCAGACCATATTTGTAACTGTATATCCGAGTTAAAGATTGCTAAAGATTAATGATTACAAGCAAAACCTGATGACAAACATGGCACGAGAAGAAGCTTAAAGTGCATTATTATTATGGACAATTAACTTAGCTAGGAAAGTATTATGCAATTTCCTATTAACGAATCACTTTGCTTAACAAGCAAATATCCATACTCTTCTGTACTGCAAATCATCTCTCTTTAGTTTATTTACATGCTTATATTTATTTTTGCTTTTCTATTTTTCTTTTATGGTATAAGAGACCTCAACCAAATAACGTAGTTTTACTCAAAGTAAGGAAACATAGGCGATCAGGTTTTGATGCGACCAGTTTTGGTCTAAATGAGTTGGCGATTGTAGGTTTCTGTGTTCACCTACTCTCTAATGTCTCATGGGATAGTATTTCAGTCCTCTTTGGGTACTATTAGAGTCTATGGGCATGAAAGTTCCTACTTCCCCAATATTGTGTTTTTAGCTGATATGGAAAACACTCTCTCTATGCAGAAAAAAGAAGTCTTCTTGGTGGTCATGCTGTTGTTCTTGTAGCGGTTCTTGCTGCTCAAGTTGGCCAAGCTGCTCGTTGAAGTGCTCAGGTTGCTCTTGTAAGTGGTTAAACTGCTCAGGTTGCTCTTGTAAGTGGCTAAGCTGCTCAGGTTTCTCCTTTAAGTGGCTAAGCTGCTCGAGTTTCTCTTGTAAGTGGCTAAGTTGCTCAGGTTGCTCTTGTAAGTGGCTAAGCTGCTCAGGTTGCTCTTGTAAGTGGCCAAGCTGCTCAGGTTTCTCTTGTAAGTGGCTAAGCTGCTCAGGTTGTTCTTGTAAGTGGCCAAGCTGCTCAGGTTGCTCTTGTAAGTGGCCAAGCTGCGCAGGTTGCTCTTGTAAGTGGCCAAGCATGCCTGTCGGCTGCTGCAAATGGCCATGCAGCCATGGTGGTTGCTGCAAATGGCCGAGCTGCCAATGCAAGTGTTTTACCTCGCTACGCTGCTGCTCCTAGTGTCCAACTTCTCGTTGCAACTGCAAGTGCCTGACATGGCAAAGCTCTGTGCGCAACTTTTCTGCATTGTAGCCGGGCATTCTGCTTGATGGGACTATAAATTATTTGATCTTGCCAGGTATGACTTTCTCTCTCTCTCGCTCAATTATATGATAAGTTGGTTTACCTAGTCTGAAAATTTCTACTTACTATGACATTTGATATTGGCATGTCGTATATATACGTTCTAAAGAATCCTTCAATTACGGCCCATTGTAGAGACCTGATAGAGTCATTCTTTTCATCTGTGCAGTTTGAGGGAAGAGGAACTGTATGTGAAAAAGGATAGCCTGAGCACCAGCATACCCATTGAGCTCTGCCTGCCTTTGTTCTTGTGGTTGATGCCCTTCTTGTAATTCTTGCCATCCCTACTCTAGCTGTTTCCTAGGACGTGAAGGCCTAATTCCATTTCGGCCCTCCTCCTACTTCTGCCTCGTTCATTGAAAATGCTTGCCACCTACATGCATAGGTTCCGTAGAATCAAGAGAATTTAGAAGTTTTAAGATGCATAATGTTATCAGCAGCAACAAGCTTGGCAAAATGTGGAGATTGATAGTAGCTAATTTATTCAAGCATTGAACAATGTCTAATATCTTGAACTCTTTTAGTGTATATAAGTAGGCAGTGGGGCTTAGATATATTTGTTGCCTCACACTACTTAGTCCATTATTGTGCAACCATTTCTTTCCTTTTTCAAGCTGGGAGTAGAAAAGGTGGGAAGAGAGAATATGATGGAGGTAGTGTCGGTGGCGTAGCCACATACAGTGAAGGCGGTCCAGTGAACACCTTTCATTGGAGAATTATATTGTGTATATAAAAAATTATATTACATTTGTGTGTTAAAACTACTTTTTACACATGCATATTAAAGTTTGAATACCCTTAGTCTCTGGGTAATGCCGTCTTTTGATATTATTTAGGAAAAAATTGGGATGTTACATTAGTGTTTTGCTATATGGATCTAATGGTGTGTTTTGTATGGAGGAAATATTTTTCAACCTTTTTTATATTTGTTGGCAAAAATATTTTGAAAAATAAGTTCCTTAAAAATTAGGATAATGACTACCCTAATGAAAGTAGGGGGAAAAAATTCCATAAGTGACATTCCACGCCCTTCAACACCTAACCTTCACGCCCACCCCCTCAACCCCACACACCCTCACCCCCGACCGCAGTCTCATGCCACCTTACCATCCACCAGGCCACGACCACCACCCTAACCGCCCACCTCTCACCATACATACATCAAGTTTATTTTAGTAGGAAAAAAGAAAATTGAAAAAAAAAAGTTTATTTTAGTAGCTAGTGTTAGCATGCTAGTTTCCTACTTAGGTCTAGTATGAAATACTTTCTCCATCCAACTTTTAAAATTGTGTATCCATTAAACACCGTTGTAAAAAAGACATAAGAAAAGTATTGTATTTTTCACTACTATTGCAATTAAATGTGAGGAGTAGATAACAATGGAATAAGTTTTTATCTTGTCACATTAAGTAAAAGATATCAAAACCACATGATTTAGTTATAATTTTGAAATACTCATGTCTATCTCTTTATGATTGACACGAATTTATTTTGGCAATATTTTTCTCCTAATCTTAAACTCTATGACAATTAAACACCGTCATGTGAAATGACGACACAAGAAAAGTATTTTGATTTTTCCACAAAATAAGTGTTTTTTTGTTGTCAAATTAAGTAACGAATATCAAATCACATGATTCCATTATATCTTGATGACCATTAAGTTGGTGGTTGGAGAGTGCACCGTAAACGTTGTTAGTGCTTACACACACCATGCGGGCCTGGATGAGGATATCAAACGACGCTTCTAGGAGGGGTTAGATGAGATTGTGCATCAGGTTTCGCCTGCTGAGAGGCTATTTATAGGAGGGGATTTCAATGGTCATATTGGGTCGACCGCAGGTGATTATGGTGAGGTGCATGGAGGCTTCGGTTTTGGGGAGAGGAACAAAGAAGGTACCTCGCTAAGGCTTTTGGGTTGGTGATTGTGAACTCTAGTTTTCTGAAGAGGGAGGAACATTTGGTTACTTTTCAAAATGCGGTGGCAAAGACTCAGATCGACTATCTCTTCCTTAGGAAGCATGACAGAGGGCTGTGCAAGGATTGCAAGGTTATTCCGGGTGAGATACTCACAACGCAGCATCAGATTTTGGTGATGGACGTTGGTATTATGTTAAAGAGGAGGAAAAGGTCTGCGCGAGGAAAACCGAAAATTAGGTGGGGAGCCTTGACTAAGGATAAAGCCCAAGAGTTCGAGGGGCAGTTGGCGGCTATGGGAGCCTGGAGGAGCAGCGGTGACACAAACATTATGTGGTCGACATCAGTAGGTTGTATAAGGGACACTACGAGGGAGGTGTTTGGGGTCTCGACGGGCGTCTTTGGTGTGCACAAAGGAAACTGGTGGTGGAATAAATGGTCCAAGGTACTTTGGAAGCGAAGAAGGCAACGTACCTGAAGTTAGTAGGGAGCACAAATGAGGAGGAGAGGAGAGCATGCATGGAGAGGTATAAGGTAGCTAGGAAGGAAGCTAAGTTGGCGGTCACGGAGGCTAAGACTGCGGCTTATGGTCGTATGTACGAGGAACTGGGGGGGAAAAGACGGGAAGAAGAAGTTATTCGGCTGGCCAAGACGAGAGAGAGGAAGGCTCGGGATTTGGACCAAGTGAGATACATTAAGGACGATGATGGTAGAGTATTGATGGAAGATGCCCAGATTAAGAGGAGATGACAAACTTACTTTCATAAACTTCTTAATGAAGAAGGGGATCAGGATATTGTCCTAGGTGAACTGGGGCATTCCTAAAGTCACCGCGACTTTGGGTACTGCAGACACATCAAGGTTGAGGAGATCGTGGGAGCTGTGCGTAAGATGATCAGGGGCAGAGCGACCGGGCCAGATGAAATTTCGGTTCAATTTTGGAAGTGTATGGGTAAAGCAGGCTTGGAGTGGCTGACTGGACTGTTTAATGTTATTTTTAGGACGAAGAGGATGTCAGATGAGTGGAGGCAGAGTACGATGGTGCCGTTGTATAAGAACAAAGGTGATATCCAGAGTTGTAACAATTATAGGGGTATCAAATTACTAAGTCATACCATGAAAGTTTGGGAGAGGGTGGTTGAAGCGAGGGTGAAGAGAACGGTGTCAATATCAGACAACAAGTTCGGTTCATGTCGGGTCGTTCTACTACAGAAGCTATACACCTTATTATACGGGTGGTGGAACAGTATAGGGAGAGGAAGAAGGATCTGCACATAGTGTTTATTGACCTAGAGAAAGCGTATGACAATGTTCCTAGAGAAGTTCTCTAGAGATGCTTGAAGGCAAAAGGAGTGCTGGTTGCCTACATTAGGGCGATTAAGGACATGTATGATGGGGCTAAGACTCGGGTCAGGACAGTAGGAGACGACTCTGATCATTTTTCGGTTGTTACGGGGTTACACTAAGGTTCTCCGCTCAGTCCGTTCTTATTTGCACTGGTGATGGACGCGTTAATTCACCATATTCAAGGAGAGGTGCCATGGTATAAGCTATTCGCTGATGACATAGTTCTGATTGATGAGTCGCGAGCAGGTGCTAACGAGAGGCTGGAGGTTTGGACACATGCTCTTGGGTCCAAGGGTTTCAAGCTGAGTAGGACGAAGACGGAATACCTGGAGTGTAAGTTTAGCGCTGAGCCGAGGGAAATGGGCATGGATGTGAGGCTTGGATCACATGTCATCCCAAGTAGAGACAGTTTCAAGTACCTTTGGTCGGTTATCCAGGGGGGATGGGAGATTGACGAGGATGTCACACATCGTATTGGGGTGGGGTGGATGGAATGAAGGTTAGAATCTGGAGTCATGTGTGACAAGAAAGTGCCACCGATACTCTAAGATAAGTTTTATAAAGCGGTGGTTAGACCGACCATAATGTATGGGGCTGAGTGTTGACATGTTAAGCGATCACATATCTAGAAGATGAAAGTAGCAGAAATGATGATGTTGAGGTAGATGTGCGGGAACATTAGGATGGATAAGATTATGAATGATGATATTTGGGAGAAGGTGGGCGTGACTCCCTTTGGTGAAAAGACGCGGGAAGGAGGTGTGAGCGGTTGGTTGTGAAGGGTACGAGAAGAGGTAGAGGGCGGCCTAAGAAGTATTGGAGAGAGATGATCAGGTAGGACATGACAAGGCTTCAGATTTCCGAGGACATGACTGTTGATAAGAAGTTGTGGAGGTCGAGCACTAGGGTTGTAGGTTAGGAGGCAGTTGAGTCTTTCCTTACTTCGTACCTTCGTGAGACTAGTGACAATGTTGTATCTTACTACTCTTTCATTTCTCATAGTGCCGGGTCTATTTACTGTCTCGCTTTTACTTTGCATCTATCTTTTCTATCTTCTAGTTTTCATGTTGTTGTTACTTTTCCTATAATTTCTGGGGTGGTACTGATATTGTCTCTTTTTGTATTTTTGTCTTTTTCTCTTCTTGAGCCGTGAGTCTTTCGAAAATAGCCTCTCTACTCCCTCGGGGTAGGTGTAAGGTCTGCATATACACTATCCTCCCCAGACTCCGCTAATGAGATTTTACTAAATCGTTATTGTTGTTGTCATGTCTATTTCTCGATGATATGACGAGAATTTATTTTGCCATTATTATCCTCCCTATCTTAAACTCTACGTCTATTAAATACCGTCATATGAAATGACACAAGAAACTGTATTTTGGTTCTTCCAATAGTAAAATAGAACGAATGAATATTAACGTAGAATTTATCTTATTAGATTAAGTAGCAAATATTAAACCACAAAATTTAGTTATTGCTTTAAAATACTCCTAACTATTTTTATGATAATATGTTGAAAATTTATTGTGGCAACATTTTCTTTCCAATGTAAAAATCTACAGACTAAACATCGTCTTTCATAAATAGGAACTGAACACCCTTTATCGAAAAAATATATTGTATATATAGAAACTTATATTATATATATAGGTTAAAAATTATTTTTTATATGTGTATATTAAATCTTGAACACACTTCGCGAAATTTCTAGCTTCGCCACTACTGTTTAGCACTGAGATAAGTTTTTATCTAGTCGGATTGAGTAACATTTATTAAATTACATGATTTAGTTATAATTTTGAAACTCTTATCTGTCTCCCTGATGATATGATAAAAATAGATTTTGACAACATTTCCCTCTCAATCCATTAAACACCGTCATATAAAATGACACACTGAAAAATATTTGGTTCTTCCTCGTGACAAACGTAAGAAATGAATAACATTATAATAAGATTTTATCTTTTCAGATTAAGTAACAAGTATTACAACACATGATTTCGTCATAATTTTGAAATATCTATACCACATGATTTAGTTATAGTTTTGAAATACTATCTCCCCAGTGAAATGACAAGGATTCATTTTGACAACGAATTAGTCATAATCTTAAACTAATTATACACTGTCATGAAATGACAGAGACTAATATTTTGTTTTTTTCCCACTCGTGCTGCAATAAAACGTGAGGAGTGGTTAGCACTTAATTAAGTTTTCCTCTTTGCCAGATTAGGTTGCAAATATTAACCACACAATCTAGTTATTTTGAACTAGATTACGAAAATTTATTATGGCAACATCTGTTAATCTCTTTTTTTTTTTGTAGGTGTGAGGTTGGCAATCTCATCCCATTTAATAAAAATCGTTACTTTTTTTAATGAGCAGATAACTATCACACTAATAATTCTGACCATTTTTATCTCACAATTTTTTTTTTTATAATTTTTATCTCAATTAATTACTACTACTAGTTAGTTT